GTCTGCATCATCAATTTGTAGACAAGTTAATGCTCAGCACTCCTCCAACTTCTACGTCAATGCTGATTGCACGCAACTCAACCTGCTGTGCCTCCGAAGTGACAATTCATTCCCCAAATTAAGCGAACCACACTGGCCGTATGAGTTTATTCGTAGAACAAAAGACTTCATTTTGATGATGAATACAAGTAGTCAACTTTTCGCTTTTACCTGCTGTTGCGATTTATCCCACATCTCCAATGACACCACAATTTACAAGAAGGTAATGTCGAATCAGCGTGCAGTGCATGGGCGTGGGTGGAGATAGGGCATTGCACGCAGATGATGCAAGTGTGTTGAAGTCGACTAATGGGAGCTGCTCTTAGCTGAGTGGCAGATGAAACATCCAAGCATCCACCATCTCTATATAAGCTGACAGATGTTGAATTGGAGCACTCTGAAATCAGTCGCGTCATGGAACTCTCCAAAGTCAGTCTCGTCTTCTTACTTACTGCCCTCGTGTTTGCCCATGCTTGTAAACAAAGCCCACCACCGATGACCACCGCAGCTCTAACTACTACACGGGCAACCACCACAGCTCCAACTACTACAAAAGCAACCACCAAATTCCCAGCAACTACACAGAAAACCATCACAACTCCAAGGACTACACGGACAACTACCAAAGCTACAACGACTACACGGACAACGACCACAACTCCAAGGACTACAGCCACTACCACCACTAGACGACCATCCACAACTGCAACTACTAGACCAACTACGACTGCTGCACCACTGAAGACGACTTCACCAATCGCAACTTCTATAATTCAAGCCAGTAGTGAGATGACCACCTCACAAATGTCCCTCCTTTTACCATCTACTCCACTTCATCTCCTCACCTCCCTCCTTCTCTTCATCACCTCCTATTTGCTCCTCTAATTTCCACCACATTTGACTTCTCTTCCACTTTTTATTTCCTATCTCTATTCCAACTTGTTTCAACTTGCATGGAAGCACACGAAAAGACTTGATTGATCTTGACAAAAC